ATGTTACTGCCAACTCTGTGGGCCTATGGTTGATTTTTTTCCCCCTCTGTCCTCCATTTCACATTCAACTTCCTTGAAAGAATTGTCTATATCCATAACCTTATCACGACCCACTTACACCTCCAGTGACTGCAATCTGGCTTCATCATTTGACCAGTTTTACTCTAGGCATTTTCATTAATGATCTGGTAGCAAATCCAGTGGTAACTTTGGAGTCCTTAGCTTGTTTAACCTTTCCAGACACTCAGCACTGTTGATAACCCTCACTTCCTTTGACTTCCCTGGTTGTATCTCTTGTTTTTTCTCTTATCTGTCACAGTCCAGTTTCACAGACACATAGTAAGTGCTCAATAAATATTTGTTGAATCAGTGAATGGATTAATGTAGCTTTGTGTGTCCAAGAGACAGCAAAAATAAAACGAAGATAGGGATTTTCCACCGATCACATTAAACGAAAAAAGGAGTGACTATAGCGTCGGTATGAGTTGGAATACACTCCATGGTAATGAGTTTGTTTGTTTGTTTTTTGGTTTATCATAACCTGCTGATAAGTATATTGCTTATCATGTAAATTCTTTTCTCTCTTCTTCACTTTTCTCATCCTTGATGAGCAATGTAAGGATCACTTCCTTCCTGAAGCCACCTTAGATTTCCTTATCTTACCATAATTAGTTCTATTTATACTTCTATTTACCATGCTCCTAATTGTTCCTTATAGAACAGTTATTTACACATTTATCACTCCACTAAGTTGGAAATACCCAAAATATGAAAATCCTTCTTCCTCATTGTATTGCTCTCAGACAATGCTCGACGAATGAATGTGTTTAATAATTGATACATTGAATATTAAGGTACTCTAAAAATTTGAGATTTTAAAAATCTTTATAAATCATTGAGGCATATTAGTTGAATTCTTCCATTCAAATAATTGAAAGTGACGGTCTTTTTTCTTTCTATTTAACACATTAAAGGCCTTATGGAAATCTTCAAATCCGTTAACTTAGAAACTGTAAACTTTATTTTTACTTTTTTCAATCCTTGATCTGATATTTAATTGTCACCATGTTAAATACTCCAATTTATATGAAATAACTTTAAATGTGCTTTGTGAATATTGTATTTAAAATGATTTTGAACATTTTATTTTTCTTCTGAACTTCACCAACTCTGTAAAGTATCTTATATTTTATATGCTTTTACTTTACTTAGGAGCAGAATAATATCATAAATATTGACAAAGGTTTTAAAAAATGACAATTTTAAAAAGACTTTTAAAGACTTGCATTAGTGACTGTGTTTGGGAGCAACAGATTGTCCTAGTTCTAAAATAATTGAACCCTGCCCATAAAAACCTTCCGTTGTCTTTAATGTGACTCCTTCTCTCTCTCTCTCTTTTTTTGCAATGGCATTTACAGAAGTAAATACAACTGAGAGTGGAAATGTTACATGTTACTTCCTGAGTCTCTCGCATGTGCGAATTTAGTTATATTTGATATCTGTAAAGCAACAAAAAGGAAATCTTCACACCAGAGTATCATACACAGGATTGAAGATCATTTGAGTTCCTAGCAGGTATCACTGCGTGTTGGTGAGAGTTTTGAAGGAAGAGGTAATGTCTGGAATCTGAGAGCTGTTGGCATATTGGACAAGCAAAGTGATAGTGGGAGATTAAAGGGCATCTAGGTCTCTTGAATCACAGTTTAAAATGGCTGGCAAAGCATCAAAGGAAAAACAATCAGACATCTGAATTCCCTAAACTCCTCTGCTACACCTTAACTTGATTCCGTTGGTAGGACCTGTTTTCCTAAAAATGAAGTGAGAATTAGAGTAAGTCCATGGACAACAGAGTTCAGAGCCACTCGCTAAGAAACACACCAGTGAAATATGTGATGGTTCAGGCCCAATAATACATGCTATCTCTCAAGAAACAATGAAAGGCATTCCACTATGACAGGTAGAGTGGACTGGTGACTAAACACTGGCTTCGGAGTCAGAAGACACACATTCACATACTGGCCTTGCCACTACTAGCTCTGACTTAATGTTCAAGTCCCTTATCCTCCTTCAGTCTTGGTTTCTTCCTTAAGTGATTAGATATACTAGAATTTTGAGGATTAAATGACACAGCACATGTGAAATATCCTACTATACGTAAAATAAGATCCCAAAGAATTGAGTTTAATATGAATGGCAACAACTATATACATATTTTTTCCAGTTTTAACTCAATAACTACTTTGTCCCCTTTGAAATGTGTCAAACCTACATTGTCATCACAAAGGTTTTTGAAATCTGACCAACACATTTTTCACTCTCAACCCAAATATACAGATTTTTACCCTCTGATGAAACAAATACCTCATCAGATAATGATCTCTAGTTTCTCTCCTGAAAATTTCTTTAACAATAAAATGGTCATAACCTCTATGAAGTCTTCCACTGGGATAGAGGCTCAAGTCATCTTGATCAATGGTCAAGTCAACAAAATAGGCACAGTTTACACTGACTATATGCCCTGCTGATTGAAAAGCACATCAATGTTAAGAATTGCTTTCTGTCTCCCAGTGTAACAAACTAGCATGCTGTGAAATGGCTACATTGCCACTAAATTATTTTTTTTCTTCCTTGAAATCCGCTGCTTGTTGTAAATGCCTGCCCACTATGCCTGCCACCAGTATTTACTAGTGACTCAAACCAAAAAACAGAGTCATTCCTGACTTTTTCTTCCCAACCCCATCCATTTGGTCACTATGATATATTTATTGCCTCATCGATTTTAGAACCCTTCCTCCTTCTTAGTGCTTTAAACCATTGCTCACTATATCTTGACAGAACATAGAAAAAGCCTTATAGCTGCTCACTGTGTCTTTCCTGTATTAGATCCCAGCTTCACACTGGGGACACAATGATCTATTTATATGGAAGATCTAATCTCGTCACTCCTTCACTTGAAAAACTCTACTAGTTTTCCCATTCACTAGTGGAAAAGTAATTGAAATGTAATATTACTTTTAGGGTCACCATTGCTTGATTCTTGCTGCCTCCCTTTGTCTCAAATTGTATGCCTCAATACTATCCGAACAGATTATAGTTCCCTAGGCACAACAGTGCTATTACTTTTGCAAGCTGTTACTTCTGCTTGGATTGTCCTTCCAATTTCTTCTCATGTGTAACATTTCTTAATTTTTCTGGTTCAACTTAGAAAATTCTCCCTTTGGAAAAGATACACAAATCCCTAAAATGGGTTAAGTGTCACCCCTCTTTTCTTTCAGAGGACCCTGTGTTTACTATCATCTGGCAAACTAACACGATAGGTGACAGGGTTTCTTCATCTGTGTGGGTAACAGCAACATTTTGAAGACAAAGGCCATATCTTAGCCTCTGTGCTCCTCTAGGTAAGGCCATCAATTCGCTCTGCTACTTGGATTCCCAGAACTACCCTGGTTTCAAAGAATATTGACTATACCATGGACTGCCAGAAGAACTAACAAACCTGTCTTGGATGAAGTACAGCCAGAATGCTCCTTAGAAGCGAGGATGGAGAAACTTCATCTGACATAATTTGGACATGTTATCAGGAGGGACCAGTCCCTAGAGAAGAACATCATGCTTGGTAAAGTAGAGGGTCAGCAAAAAAGAGGAAGACCCTCAACAAGATGGATTGACACAGCAGCTGCAACAACGGGCTCAAGCATAGCAACGATTGTTAGGACGGCGCAGGACCGGGCAGTATTTCGTTCTGTTGTACAGAGGGTTGCTATGAGTTGGAACCTACTTGATGGAACCTAACAACAACAACAACAACCCTGATTCAGGTTTGTTCTCCACCTCTTTCTTCATTCAAAGGGCCATCCCATGCCCCTCCAATAATTTTAGATTTAGAAATAGGAAAGTCAGAGTCAGTTTCTGGCACTACCGTCCAAAGAACTTTACTTATATATTTGTTTATTTCTTTTTCACACTTTCTTAGTATACTTACTACTGATATGTTCACAGTAGCTCAGAAAAACTCTGGCCTCTAAAATAATTTACTATTTGATCAACAGCCTAACCCAGCAAAATCTTGCACTTGAATGCCCTTGAATGTAAGGTCTTGAGGGTAATGCTTGGTTTTGCTCTCTGTTGTATCTCAGAACCTAGATGCCTTCAGTAATATCTGCTGAGTAAAATAATGAATTATCTCAATCATTCATTTTTCTTATAAACATAAAAACTATCACTTTCGGGTAGTGAATTTGTATCTGCAAATAATAGTTCTTGAAATGAAATTGATGTTTCTTGATGATTCTTAGCTTTATAATTTGTAATTAAAGAGACTAACTTAGTATAAATCTTGACATATTTGCCAAAGTAATTTACGTAGTATGAAACCTAGGTATTAAACTCAAGCTTTTAGTCTTCCCCATGTGACCAGTACCTGGAACTCGGCTGACATTTGATACATGATCAAAACAGGAAAATGGTTTTCATCACCTGATTCATTTTTATGTTCTCATTTGTTACTATAACTTCATTCAAGCATTACCACATATAACTCTCTAAGTAGATTTTATATTTTTCTCTATGCATTGGCTTTTAAAATGTGACAGAATGTTCCTAATGGGAAAATTAAAATCAAGTGGATTTTATGCTTTTTTTGAACAGTGTAGGTTTTTGGTTTCATTTTTTCCAGAGAATCAGAAAAAATTAGCATCTAATTCCAGAGTGATTTAAGACCACCCCTCACTTTCATTACTTAAGTGTGATGTAAAATAAAATCTATCTGGGTCGACATAATACACACATACACATCAAATGTAGAATCATTTAAGTAGATGTAATTCACAACCAGTGAAAATATGATCACATGCAAAGATATGAAAGCATGAACGTAATTTTGAGAGGAAAGGAGGAAAAGAAATAGTGCTTTAAGTACTGTTCCAGAATAGATTTTTCTTGTAGATTTTTTGAAAAATATGTCATTTGTATTCTTTTGAAACTAAATTTGTTCAACTCACCTTCATATAACCAGTCAGCAATTCCATTAAAAATAATTCCTTCTTTTCCAGAAGATGTCAGTCGCAATGAACTGCTCTTTATATCAGGTTGATAGTAGATGTTATTTTCAAAAATATAAATCTAGATCAGGAAACACGTGAAACAAGCAAACAAAAAATCCAACCTATTAGGATACCTTTTTTTAACGTCCATATTAACATAATGATAGCTGAATAGCTAAGCATTTCATTATTTGCATGCTTTCCATTTGTTTTTATTTAATGCATGTATTATATTGCTTTAAATTTTTAATAGGTGTTTCTTCCTTTATCTTATAAATATCAAGTTGTCATTTGGAAATTACATGGCACCCAGTATTTATGCACTTAAATCCATATTTTCAACAACAGTATTTCATCTAGTTATTTATCTCTCTACCGCACCGCAAAATGGGTTTGGGTTAGAGATAACATTTTGCATATTCAAGAGACTGATAACTGAAACCAGATGCCATTTTTAGTAAAGATTCAATTTTGTGTCTTTACTTTTACAAAAGTTCATTTCATGATCAATAAAATCATTTTTTAGAGTATTTCTGATTCTATCAAGCTTGACTCACAGATCTACTGGTAAAAGGAGGGGGCAGCAAAATTCCCTTGAATTGATAAGTGGAACACACCTCCCTATACCCCCATTGTCCTTGGTAATTCATTCCTAAATAGCATAGCAGTAATAATAACTTTGTGCCTGAGGCTTTACGCAAGAGTTTCAATTTGAACAAGTCACATACTCAGCAGCAACAATAGCCACCAAAACAGAAACAAGAGTGGAAGCTAAAACAATGTCCACACAAAATGATGCATCAAAGATGTAGATAACTCAGCATGAAATTATTTATAACTCGTTTCACAATATATCTACTATCAAACATTTCAAACTGCTGGTCAATGTGATATTAGAATCTTCCACAGAACCAGACTTCTTGCATCTGTTGGGGGAAGCAGAATATTGTACAGTGCAAACCAAATCGCTATTTAGATGGGACATTCTACTATGAAGGTGAGAAATGGTCTAATGCCCATGCTATAGTTCCATTATACAATACCTATTACCCATTGCCGTGGAGTCAATTCTGACTCATAGCAACCCTATAGGACAGGGTAGAACTGCCCAATAGGGTTTCCAAGGAGCAGCTGGTGGATTCAAACTGCTGACCTTTTGGTTAGCAGCCAGGCTCTTAACCACCGTGCAGCAGGGCTCCATTATACAATAACAAATATAATAAACATAAGAAGTTCTGAAACAAATCTCTGAATAAGAATGAGGTCCTGAATTTTAAATCCTGAAGTGTGCAGTGGCAAACACAATTTGAATATGTAGATAATGCCATTAATAGTCTATTTTGATTCTAAGGATTTAGCAAACTGTGGGTGTATCTAATTAATGGCTCCACCACTCCCTGTGCTTTGTATTTCAGGAAATAATGCCAATATAAAAATAAGCATTTTATGGGGGGGAAATAGAGGGTAGAGTAGGCAACCTAAGTTTAAAATCTGACTGACCTTGAAAATTTTCTTAACCTTTCTAAATCTTAGTATTCTCCTTTATACAATATGGACAATACTCGCATCTACCTTACAGATTCGTTGTGAAAAAGTGAAATGATGAGTATAGAGCATGTAACACATAAAATAACAAGGTTAGAAGTACTAAACTTTTGTTTTAGAAATACAGGTAATCCCCCACTTACAATGTGTTTGAGATACAACGAACCGCACTTATGACTCTTTTTTTTTTTTTTGTACGTCTTATCCTTAGTAATATGTACTATATACACTGTTGCAGTGCATAATTTGCTGAGGCTATCATTCTCAGTTGCTCACTCGCAGATGTTCAATTTTATGATTTACTGTTCAAAACACTGCCGTATAGCAGGCTATTGCCTGGTCTAGAATGAAGTTGGGGTTAGTGTCAAGAGTCATAATGGATAGAAAATTGGACAATGTTCAACTCTAACACCATAAGAGAACTGAACTGAGTGCATGCCCAGTAGTCATTACCACTCTGACTTCATTGTTAGGACACTAATTTCGACTTCAACAATGACCAGGCTATAGCATGATGTTACTGAGCATTCCGTTAGTTGCTAATTTGAAACGAGGTATTTGACTTACATCAGAACTGATTTACAACGGAGTCTTCAGAACGGAGCCTTGTTGTACACAAATTTTTTAAAGGATACATATTCTAAATCAAAACAAAACTTCTATTGTTTAGGTAGATGTGTAAATTATCCCAAACTACTAACCAATCTACATATTGGATTGGTAAAGTGTATATTAACTGAAGTAGTAGAGAAACAATAGTAGTAGTAGTAAACGCAGGAGGAGGAAAAGTATCAACAAATTATGTTTTCTGAGTTTACTTTAGTTAGAAAGTTTTCAAGTGATGAAGGAAGCATAAAATAAGCTGATCATTGAGAACATGTTGATCACACTAAGCAAAAGTTTGAGGACTATTGTTCTGGTGTAGTGCCACTGAATTGGATTTAATGACTCACAAACCATGACCACTGATTAAAAAAATATATTATTTATTCTACCATCTAGAATAATCTTTTCTAGCCATCTAAAGCCTTAGCTTTATACCTTTTATATACTATCTTATTTTGTGTTTCACAAATGGTATATGAAATAGGCAGGCAAAGTCTTCCTTACCGGAGGGAACTCTTTTTCTGTGCCTGTACCTTTTATTGAAAACCCTAGTGGCATAGTGGTAGAGTTTGACTGCTAACCTAAAAGGTATCAGTTCAAATCCACCAGGTGCTCCTGGGAAACCCTAGGGGGCAGTTCTACTCTGTTCTATAGGGCTGCTATGAGTTGGAATCAACTCGACGGCAATGGATTTTTTGGGTTTTGGTACCTTTTATTAGGGCTTGTGAATAACAACACCGCACATCATCCACACCCAAGCTACTAAAGCACTGATAGCTGTTATTAGGAGTAGGGGTTACTTCACCCAAATAATGTGATTCCAAATCCTCAGCTTTACAAATGTTACAGACTCTAAGTCAAAATAATTAATAAAACTTCCACAACCTCAGCAGATGTATAAATTATCTAAAACTATTGACCAGTAATTACATTTATATTTGAAGAAAAGATTGAATGATATTCAGAATCCATATAAAACCGACATCTGCTTCAATGTAAAAGAACAAGGAATATGAAATCAGAATTTTAATGCCATTCTACTGAAAGCTGAAATCTCGGGGAAAAAGATCCTTTTCTGTGCATAATCAGTACGTTTATAATTTCCTAATCACATTTCAATTATCAAAGTGTTCCAAATAATAATCACAAACTGTAACCACTGCGTAGACAATTTGAGGGCTGCAAATATTCCCAGGTAGTATCCAGGCACTCTGATAAAATTAAACTGGATCTTAATGGTAATCATCAAGGGCTTTGACTAGATTTACATCACACTGAAAATATGTCAAACACTACTGTCATTTATCCTAAGGTTACTGATTAACCTGTCATAATATTTTGATAACATTAATCAATTATTTCAATGAGCCCCCTAAACAATATAACAAGCCAGAATGGATAGCTATTTGACCATTTAACTCTTCAATTTATAGACAAAGCCAGCTACACAGCTGTTCAAAATCAATGGCCTTAGCATCCCACAAAATAATTCAAAGTTGGTAAAGTCACTACAAAGGGAACAGGAAGAACATTAAAATACTATGTGCTGAATTATGCCAATTTAAGAAACAGGTAATACATATTCCCAAAAATTATACTAATCAATATGTTTGTCCATATTACTCATTACCGTTATTGGTCATACTGTCTGTCACTGCTGAGCAGGAGCCTTGAAGAACTAATTCAAAATTTGCACCCTCTCATTCCCCAGACACAGTCATTAGCAATGCTCCAGATGGTAGAGACTATAGCAGCCTGGAATGCTGAGTGAAGAAATATGGACCAGAATCCCCCAGGGAACTTGTGATGGACATACAGCAAGAAATTAACATTTGATGTTAAAATCATTAAAGTTTTGGGGCTGAGTGTAATCACAGTGTAAATTAGTCCACTATGACTGACTCAACCAGTTTTAACAGCTGATTTGAAATTCGCAAGCCTCTCAAAAACTTTTATGTATATTGAAAAAAAAAGAGCAAAATTAAACAGACCTCTTTTAGTGAAATGTTATTGAAAAGTCATTCCACTTTCACTGATTTAACTAATTTTCATGAAAATTTTAAATTAGAAAATTCTGGAACATTCCTAAATCATCATGCATTGTAGTGGTATCAGAGAATCTATGAAGTTACAGCGGAGTTGGGAGAGTATCTGGGTTGCCGTCTACTGCGGCTTACTTTCTTGAAACAATAAATATATTTAGGAAACTATCACAGATAATAATTATTGCTGGCAGGGATGCATTGAAAGTGGTCGTCTATACTAATAGTGAAAATATAAAGTCTTATGACCATTTGGGAAGGCAACATGGCAATTGAAAACAAAACATAACACAGTCCATCTCACCTGCCATCCCAAACTGGGGACCTTCTCCTGTAGAAACAAAAGCACCAACATGTACAGAACATGAAAAGTGATGTTTATTTCAGTATCATTTATAATGACCAAAAAATAGAGGCAAAGTGAGAACACCAAAGATGAGTACCTAAATGGAGTATGACTCATCCACACCATATAACAACATTCAGGCTTTGAAGGGAATAACTTAGTGCTATACAAGTTGACTTGGAGGAGTTTCACTGAGGTAGTGCTGTGTGACAAAAGCAAGGTACATACATACACACAAAAATTAATTTAATGTGAACTAATATTTGTGCAACAGATGATGACAATACTCATACAAACTTACACTAGCAGGAATCTCACCAACATATATATATTAATATTGGTTGTTGTTACTCAGTCCCACACTTGACCCCTATAGTTTTTTATTACTGGGGTCATTAGAATTCTGAAATCCGTATTTCCAAGACCCCCTTGCAAACGATGTCTTCTGGCTTCTTTGCTAGATGGGTTTTAGTTACGCCCTGCCAAAGGTAGACAGTTGCTAGTAGAAGGCAGGAATTGGAAGCCATTCACATCTTGGAG